GCCATGCTGTGTGTTTGTAGTTGGAAGCTTTTGACTGTGTTGCAGTCGGTGAAGAAGAGGCACAAAACTTTCCACAATGTTCCCAGGCTCCAAAATGAATCACATTTGCACAAAGTTCTGATAAGCTGATCTTTGTAGGCTAGCTTAGCGTGCACAGTGAAGGGGCTGTATCTGATTGGCTGCTGAAGGCAAGCGTTTAGTCCCAAAAACAGTCTGTGACCTTTGCTTTTCAGTATTTATTTATTTATTGTCATTGTCAGAGAACAATGAAATTGCATTTGGGGCTTCCGTACAACCCGTAAATAAAATAATGAAGAAAATAATAAATACCCCTTAAAACCCAAGTGTAAATATTTAACCCAGTGTGACTCCAGTGCAATAAGACAATCCTTAGCAACAACATGAGAACATGACAAGTAAACATGAGAACCTGACAAGTAAGTTCATTGCTATTAAGAAGTTGGATATGGTTATTGTCCGTGAGAGGGGGGCAGAGAGTTCAGGAGCCTCACAGCCTGTGGATACAGGCTGTTGGCCAGTCTGGATGTTCTGGCCTGTATAGACCTGTACCTATTTGGTCTGAGCAGAGTTAAAGTCTAACTTGCCCTGAGCTACAGGGAACCTGAATGAATCAAATAAGCTGCAGTAAATGGAAGTTTTATTACAACAGGGAGCTCTCTCTGTGCTCCAGATAAAAATATCAGCTGATCTGACTTTGCTGCTCCACTTAGCAGACCTCAAACTGGGTCACGGGCAGCCAGAACAGAGTTTTTCACAGCCTGTGTGACTCGTTCTCATTCAGTGGCCATTCTGACTCTTCCTTCTGAATGATGACTTGCTAATGAAATTGAGCTGAATGTAACCTGACCTCCTGATCTCCACAGTACTTTGCCTCAGTGATCAGCAGCCTGCTGGCTGTGGCCTGGATCGGACAGCAGGTGCACAACCTGTTCCTGACGTACCTGATCGGTGAGTATACTTTCACTTGACTACAAAAAGACTGTTTTGTTTATCGCCACTGTTATCAGCCATGTTTCACTCATATCTTTGTGGGTTTCCTTCCTGCACTCTCCCCTGCTGGCTGCTGTCCAATCACACGCTCCTTCATGTCTCAAATTGTTGAGCTGTAAAGTCACTTTTAATAATACTATTAGGCAAACATCTGGTGAGCGGTTCAGACCCGGTGTGACTACCAAAGGTAAAGCACTCGTACCTCGTGTGCCGTCAGGTTTGGGCTTTGTATCAGTAATCGGGTCTCACTGTAAACACGCTTCAATACCACTCTGACATTAAAACGACACAAGTCTTACTGTAATGCCAGATTTTATTTTAAATGTGCTCTTCACAGTTTGTTGTTGTGCATTAGATGTTTTTGCACAAACTCCACATCAGGTCAAAAACAAACTCCGATGTGGCTTCAGGGGTTTGTGATAGAGATGATGTAGGAGAGCAAGCTGAGGGTGAGCCGTGTTCCCGGCTTCCAGGTGAAACTCCCGCGCTCAGCTGCAGACCTGTTTGGATGATGCCAGCAACCTTTAAAGAAGGTGTTACACTCTTCTCCTTTTAGAGAGAGAGAAACAAGAGCTTGCTGCTCATCCCACACTGCCCGTTTCTTTATTTTTCTGTCCTGGGCTGATTTTCTTTCTTTTTTTCAGTTCTTCTGTGGGGGGGGGACCCGGACAGTTAATACTGGGAGACTTGTTCACCTCTTGGTTTGGCTTCCTCTGCTCTGTCGCTCCAGAACACAATGATTTATGTCCTTAAACCTCTGTGTAATCCTTCACACACAGGCTGAAGTGGACATAGTCTTTGACATTTTGCTGAAGGCGTGCCTGCAGACCCCGCCCAGCTTCATTCTGTTTTAAGACATTTCGGTTTTAATGAAAGGCTCGCAGAGTGTCGGGATTAAAATGAGAAATCTTAAATGCTCGTCTCTGCTCTCGGGTCCTTCTTTAAAACTGCTTTCGCTGAATGTGGAAGTTGAGCCTTTCGTGCATTTTCTGCGGACAGAAACTCGTACGTGACTGAAGAGGAAGAGGCACTCGTGTTCATCAGCAGTTTTAAATGCTTCTGTGTTCAAGTTAATTTAATGGCCGATGGTGCTTTAGACTGATATTTATCTTTGATATTTGGCAGGTTTTTGCATGTTTGAAGCTCTGCATGTGGCTCTGAGTGGATCAGGGGTATTCATTATTAATGGGGCTGATTGTGGAAGTCTTTACAGGAACGTGCAGTAAAACTTGAAACCATGTCTCACCGCTGCAGAGGGCGAACACGTCTTAAAGCTGCCGGGGGGGGTTAGATCAGCAGGTCTGGCGAGCTGTGAGTGGGCTAATCCCCACTTAGATAAGCTGAGACATGTCGAGTGTTCCTCTGACAGAAACAGAGCAGAAAGGCAATCAGAGGTCATGTGACTGTGGGTTTTAATCTGGTTGCTCTTCAGGCTTGTCTGGTTAAGCAGCTGCTTTCATGTGAAGACTTCATCTGCCAGCAGCGGGTGGAGTACAAGCAGCGGGTGGAGTACAAGCAGCGGGTGGAGTACAAGCAGCGGCTCCTCACCGTCTTTCTTAAATCAGTGGCTAATGTTCCTCGGGCTGTGCGGTGTGAGTGAGTCACTGCTCAGAGAGCTGAGTGAAAGCTGTGAACAAGTCACTGATTGTTCTGACATGAACACGGGGAGTGATGCCAAGTGAGCCGTGAAAACCAACGCAGGTTTTCAGCCGATGCTGGCTTTGAAGGGAAACGCTGATCTGACAGAGTGAAAGTATTTTTCATATCGGTCAGTCTTGCAGGATGCAGCAGAACCTGAAACCATCGACACGCCGTCACTTTATCCCTGCTGTGATTGGTGGTTGGAAAGCTCGATGCAGCCACGCTGAAGTCGTCCATCGGTCTGTCCATTCAAAGCGATCCTGGTGGATTGAAACCGGACGCGTGTGCCGCCTGATCATCCCGGATAATCCTCTCTGGTCATTAGACTGAGCGCGTGCAAAATTAACCGTTTCATTAATTTGACCTCGCAACCATGAGGTGTTCTTTCTCTACTCGATGCCCCCTGGTGGCAGTTTAAGAGCATTTTCTTTTCTTTCTTTTTTTTTTAATCTGTTAGTATAAATTATGTTTCAAAATAAGAGCCTGCAGGTGTTTCACTATGAGATTATTGGCAAGTAAGAAAATTAAAACTAAAGCCACTTTCACCTTTGACCTTCAAACAGTTTTGTGACAGTCAGGTTTGGATGATTTCATTTTTCTCACAGGAGCAAACTGTGGTTTCAGACACACACAGGCAGCGTGTCAAAGTTCATCACGTGCTGTCTGTAAACGTTTCAGCGCTCAAAGCGTCCGACTTAAAATCTTTGCACACTTTTTTTGTTCTTCTCGTTGCAGTGAGCTTCCTGCTGCTGCTGCCCGGCCTGAACCAGCACGGCATCATCACGAAGTACGCCGGCATGGCCAAGAGGGAGATCAACAAACTGATGAAGCAGAAGGAGAAGAAGAACGAGTAGATGAGCGTTCGCTGTGAAGAGGGGAAGCTCTGCAAGACGAGAAAACGCAACAGGACGATGGGAAAGTGGAGGAAAGTGAAGAAAAAGGAGCAGGGGAGTTTAAAAAGTCCTCCTGCTGCCCGGGTCTCTGCACTTTGTTTTGATTTTCACACAGTTTCATTTCTCACACACACATTTAAACCTCATCACACACAAGGTTTTATTTTGCTTTTGAATTAATCTGCCATGCATGCTGCCACCAAATGAAGGTGATCACACGTGGAAATGTCCCAGTCAAACATCATCCTTCTGTTTCTTAGATCAGCTGTGCTTCGCTTGGAGGCGTCGATGCTTTCAAAGCCGTTCCCTCTACTTAGACTACTGAGCAGTTTGTGTAGCATTGCTGCCTCATTTTAACCTCTCAGACAGCAATGATTTTTTTTTTTTTGGGGGGGGGATTAACAGCAGGTCTTTTTACGTTTTTGTGCTTCTTCTGCTTCACTTGTGTTTGAATTTAGTGCTGAAAACAAAACTGGATTTGAAGCGGAGCTGAAACTGTTGGTAGAGACAGGCCTACTGCTGTACCGCTGCTAGCTGGACTCTGTTAGTGCTGGGATGAAAACCCCACAGTGCGTCGGTGACGTGGGGCGTCTCTGTAAATAGGCCCCACCCTTTCTTCTCTGTCCCCGTCTGTCCTTTTCTTGTTATTTATGTGTTCGTTTCTCCTCAGTCTTCTTATTTCTGGTATTTCAACTCATTTCATTATTTGTGTTTATTGGAGATCTTTACACACGAATAAAGTGATTTAAATGAGGTTGTTTCTTGGTCTTCATGTGTGTGAGCCCTGCCCTCCTTCCAGACCTGCACTGTCCTGACCGTTGGCAGCACACCTGCGCCGTGTATTCTCTCAGGACCAAACACCTCACAGCTCCACAGTGATCCGACCCACTGATCATTGGCACGTTATTGGACCACAGTGGGAGTACAGGATTGAATATTTCTCTCAGATTTGAAGCTTTTATTGTTGGTTAAACTGGGTGGGGGGCTTTCATTAGTGGCTTAGGACCCTAGAATTTTGGGTCCAGTAGTGATATTTGGATGAGAGGGTGATGGCATTAGCTGATAACTTAGCAATCACCACACACTGTATGCTTGTATCACACAGACCTGCTGATTAGTAACAGCCAGAATTTCACCAATATTTCTTGCCGTGTCTGTTAGTACCTCACAGCAGCCATATCATTGGTCAGATGATGCTATAAAAATGCTAGCAGCTACAGCCACCTGTGTCTCACCTGTAAACGTGTTTATTTATGCTGTAAAGCTGGCGGTCGACTCCCTGCTGGAGCCTCTCGTGGGCTTTGGATTTTAGTATTTCTGTGTTTTCCTGCCCATCTGAGCCCCTTCAGTTAAAGTTCACTTATTGTTTCTGTTCACTGAGTCCTGGAGGAGAAATGCTGTTCCTGCATCATATAGGAATGCTCTGAGAAGCATCTGCAGACCACAGAGTCCTGACAGGGTTTGCACATTTAATGGAGGTTTGCTGTGGCGTTACTTTCTATCAGTAGAGTCTCAACGCAGTACAGTCCGTCTCCCAGCGTCTGGTCGCCCACAGCTGCTGATCTCTGGACCGTCTGCTGGACTTCCCCGGCTCAAACACCTGCGTCGGTTCACCTGCAGACAGGGAACAAATGTCCAAACAGCAAAGCTAACTAAAAATCAGTTTATTCCTCTGTGGAATACTTTGAAAGTGTATGCACAGTTATTACTGGTAGTTTTTATTATGTTGCACACAGCAGAGATGAATTATCCTGATATTCTGTTTTTGCTGCATTTTTCTGTACAAAGCAGGATTGCTAAAACAGTTTGCATTGCCTGTTAAGAAACGATACGATTTTTATGGCATTACTGTGGCTGAGCGTGCCGCTCAAAGACGGCGCTGCGCGGTCCGTTATTACTGTGACCACAAGGACACAAGCTGTGAGCGTTACCTGTCAGGATGTCGTGTCGGTGCCGCTGTGTCTGTCTGCCGCTGGCCTGCAGTGACGAGCCGTCGAACTCCGGGGTCGGGTGCTCCGTCCTGTAGGTGCTCTGGCACTCGGGTGGATGATGCTGATGCTGACTGATGAGCTCTCTGATGGCGCGGCTGCTGTTATACCGAGTCCAGTTTTCCAACTTTGGGTCGACTCTCTGGAGAGAAGCAGAAGCTGGTTCTGTCCTTAATATATAGTCATAATATTTCATGACAGGCAGTAGCTTTACTTTAATTCATGTATAAGTTATTTTAAAATTTAGATAAGTCTAAAATAAAAAGTTGAAATTAAAGAAAAGTCTCCCAAACATAATTTTAATTATAACTGAGGGAAGATTTGGCATTAACTGATTTCTTCCCCTAATAAAATATGCTTCTAATGCAGGGTCCAGACAGATCATCACCACCAGGATGGTCATGTGACAACTTACTGAGATAAAAGCTGGGATGAAAAAACTGTGACTACAGAAAGACAACAGATCGAAACAACTCTGACCTCTTAACTGCATCAACACAAAGAAATAAAGCATGTTAATATTTCCTCATTCATGCAGGCACAAAAGAAGAGTTATAGAAATATGATGGAAGTAAAAATGTAAGTAGATAAGACTTAAAATACTCCAGAGTCTGTCTTTAACCATCTGAAAGATGGTTTTCCGCCTCACCGGAGTCACGTGCTGGGGCGCGTACACCTCTTTGCTGTGTGACTGCAGCACACTCTGCGGCGGCATGCTGTTGTCACGGAGATCCAGCTGGCTGCGGTGCTGGGAGGGGAAGCTGGGGTCTCTGAGGCGGAAGACGAGAGGACGTCCATCGGCCGACCTGCCGGAATAACTCTGACCAGGAGAAGAGGAGAGGGAAGGGCTAGAATCGTACCCGAGAGCTGGATTTGTAGGACGTTTAAACGTATACATTACTGACATGTAAAATAAAACCATTAGAACCTGTATTCTATTTTTAGTGAAAACATAAAATCTAAGATGGTAGAGACTGTGGATGCGTGATGATCCACACGAACAGCGACTGCACTGAGGAGACCTGGGTGTGGGTGGTGGTGTAGCAGGGCGGCGTGTCGCCCAGGCTCAGGGTGCTCTGATGCATGGGTCTCGGTCTAAAGCGCTGAGGTTGATGTTGGCAGCGAGGACCACAGCGGGCTGAAGCCGGGCTGAAGCCGTCCATCGTCTCGTCCTGTGCCTCGGTCACAGTGCAGTCAGACCTCTGCAGCTCTGTCAGGCTCAGGTGTAACTGCAGCTTTTCACTGTGTTTGTACAGAAATCAAAGGACCTGCTTCTTTGAGCATGAACAACACTTCACTGTTAACACTTAAAATGTCATTCATCTACATTTAGAATAACAAAAGATAAACATAATCTTACAGGTACAAACCAATCGTCTAATCACAATCGCAACAATTCACACACCCTGCCACTCTGTTAGGTACACCTGTTCAACTGCTCAGTGACAAATGTCAGTCAAACACATGGCATCAGCTTGTGTGTGTGTGAGAATGCTGTTTTTCTTTTAAGTGCACACTTAACCACCTTTTTATTAAAAAGTCAAACTTAACAGCAGGGCCGTGCAGAGAGGTTTAAAGGGGCGGGTGCCCAAAGTTAAAAAGGGGCACATTGAACCAGGCTGAATAACAACACACATTCATCAAGAATCTAATATGGGAAGGGCAGGGCTGTGCTGATCTGAGACTGTAGACATTAAAAAGTCCACAGGAGAGATGGTAGCTGATTAAACAAGTGTCATGAGATAATAACAAAATGCAAAGATTGGTGACAGCGCTTGGAACCATAAGGACACAAAAAACTGTGAGAAATAATTTAGGCTCTGCCTGTGAATCACTCTTTGCTTCTCTTCTTCCTTCCATCATTTCATATATCACTCTCCACTTGCTGTCTATCTGAGAACAAGGCACAACTTGCTATTGCAATAAACTATAATCTAATTATCCACACCTAACAACTCCAGCACTTAATCTAAAATAAAATGATGACAGAAAAATGTTATAGCCCTGCCTTTAGTAGCCTCACACAGCTCTGCTGTTTCCTCCTCATGTCCTTACCAGGCATGTCTGGACAATGTTATATCATGAGTAATAATTTAAAAAAATCTATATACATAAAACACACACATGCACACACAGTGACACTTTAGACCTTCTTCAGAATACTGTATATACTATGGGCATCACGGTGCTGATCCAGAATCCTTACATATTTATTACTAGAGCTACAATAATAAAGCAAAGAGGAGGGGGAAGTAATAAATATGAAATAATGTCATTATGATGATTCCATTTGTTTCACTATCCACTCTGTGCAGGGCAAAGCTTATTACATGTTTAAACTGTAGAGATACAATCATTTTACTGCTGTAAAATCCACATTTTGTCTTATTTAAAATATAAATCTAATATAATCTGCTTCTTAATGTATGTTCTTTAAAATACAGCTTGTGTTTTTAAATATATAATAATTATAATAATTATTATGTGAAAATACATATTAGATCGTTTTTAGTGAAATATAATCCCTCCAGAAAGCCCGGAAACTTACTTTAAAACTAAATATGTTCCCTAAAACGGTGACAGAGCTACAGACCCATGACAGCCTTACACAGGTAGCCAGCAGCTATGACCAGCACTACCTGTGCAGTTAATAAAAGGACAGGTAATGTTTGTCGCGCTGTTGCACACACAGCACGCTCGTTTGTTTCAGTTCGTCAGTTGCAACAAGACAGCTTACCAACGTGTACGTAATAAGCTAATACTCCTGGGTGCTACACACTACAGTGCACGCTGTACACCTACTTACTGGGTTTGTCGCATCAGTCTGTGTCTCTGAGTTAACTTGTGTTTCTCCTGCAGCTCCGGACCGCTAAAAATGCGCGTGCTCTTTGTGAGCTCGTTCCCGGCTCGTAACCAGCGCGTTCTGCCGTCAAGAGTGATCATTGGTTAAATGTGATCATGTGACTGATGCAAGCCAGATCCTTTTATTTAGCAAAACTGTGATTAATAGTTAAATATTATTGTTGAGGGGCACAGAAAGGACTCCGCACGTACACACACATAAAAAATAATAATAATTTATTAAAAAAAAGTTACCTCAACAAAAGGGCACTTTGGGCACCCATCAGGAAAGGGGCGGGTGCTCAAGCCCCTCTAGCCCCCCCCTCTGCACGTGCCTGCTTAACAGGCCCAAAAAGACAGAAAGATGCTTCATCCAGAACTAGAAAACAAAAGGTAAAATATCCAAAAGTAAAACAGTAAAAACTGGAAACAATAAAAGACTTAGGGAGAGGGAACAGTGAAAACAGACAGGAAAGAAGGGAGGAATATACGAGGAAACGATAACGAATAAACCAACCGTAGACCTGAAACACATCTCTGGAAAGATCACACAGTAAAAACAGGAAGCAAAGATGGCGTCACAAGAACTAAGAAACAAGAATCGAAAACTAGGAAACACCAGTGACTCAAGTCCAAGTTCCCAGACCGCTGAAAGGGACACGACCATGGCAACCCCCGCAGACAAACTGCCTGTTTCTTCATGTTGACAGTGAACATGTAGTAAAATCACAGATGTGGTGACCTCAGCACAGTCACCACACAGGACGCTCTCATATACAGAAAGCTGACAGAGATGTGTTCGATCATTACAGCAGGAATCACGCCTGCTCTGTAGCGACTTACCTGTGATAATGAAGCTTGTTTCTGTGGAAACATGTTGCCACGGTGATGAAAACAGACGGGTTTACTTTGACATTTTCTCTCAGGAAAGTGATCCTGCTTTATCATGTGCAGACCTGCCTTTTACTCCTGGACTGTTAGATGGAAAATAAAAAAATTAATTTACTGTATCTTCAGAATAAAACATTTCTGATGAAACTGAATGCATTTATTTGCTCTCACAGGTCTCCCGCTATCCAAATGAAGGCACTTGTTCCTTTGTCCATGCATGTTCAATGCAGTGATGGCCACTTTTATGGATTCTCCTTCAGCAGTGAGATCTAAAGGACAGAGAAACACCCCCTGAAATGTGACCAGGTTTTCTCTGGAATAATCTGCCCTCACACATAAAATCCAGTGTTTACAAATTTAAATCAGCTCTAAATTATATGGAATCTATCTTATCTTATCAAGTCCACAGTGTGTGTTTTCTGACTGGACTGACACCTAAATAGATTCCCAATTTATGGCTTTTAACCCCCAGAAAGATTTTGATCTCTGACCTTCAGGACAAGACCCCATGGTGGATGGGTGGAAATGACTTATAGAGCATTTTAGAATTATGTTTGCTACTCAAACTAGGTTTGTCATAACTATTATTTCCATCACCATAAATGCACTCACTTTCCTTCTGAAGAAAAAACGAAAAGAAATGATTAAAAATGATTTTTACTGTTGTTGTTATTAAAATGATACTGTATTACTATCATTACTATTAATCTACTACTATTTTGTGTTATAAGAAGTCACATCTCATCACATCTTGTGATGATGGACCATTTTTCACCTGACATAAAACTAAACATCATCGATACTGGTGCGCTCCCCCTGGCGGGCGGCGGAGGAACAGCAGCTGAAGACGGCGGCGCTAGTGGGTCGAGCTTCGTGTCGATTCGTCCTCTTCTTCGGTTTAATCATCCAACGACGCGTTGTTTGACCGAGAGAAAGGCCGAAGCGGCGCTGTCTCCGTGTAAATGGCGTCTAACGGTAAGAGAAACGGGCAAATCTGTCTGGGGTCTGGGCGTCGGAGCCGGTTAGCTAAAGATAGCATCACCTTCACCTGCCGGTGAACAGAGGACAGTTAGCGGCTAGCTGCAGTTTAAATGGCTCTCTGGGGGCGTGGCGTCCATCCTTTATTATCACATTTAATTCATGCAGGCCTTACGCCACCGTTTGTCCGGCTGCACGACCGCCCCGCCGCCTAGCTTCGGTTAACTCTGAGTAACCGAAGCTGCTGCGGTCCGATTAGTTCGCCGTTAGCCCGGTTTTGCTGCTGACCCAGTTTCTGGTGGCTCACTGCGGTCTCGAGCAGAGTAACCGCCCCCCTGTGCCGATCGCGCTGCTTTAACCCCTGTCCTCGGTTTATTAGAAGGACATCAGAGCGGAGACCGAGCAAACCCAGCTCACCTACACCGGGCGGGTTCAACTCAACCCCAAATAATGAAAGACATTTCATTATTAATTTTTTGGCATCTGTGGGCTGGATTATTAATACTGTCAGGTAAAGAGCCTGCAACAACACAGAAACAGTCACATGGCCCCCTGTGAGGAAAAGTCCTGTTAACAGGAAGAACCCTGCGTTAGTACCAGGATCAGGGAGGAGCAGCCATCTGCCTGATGGGGGTGAGGGGAGGGAGCAGCAGGCTGGGTGTTTGAACTGGAGGGTAACCGACAGGGAGGGCTTTGCTATTCCAGAAAAACACGAAACAATAAATAAACAGGCCGTAAATATTTCCAAACATATAAGCACAGGACACTCAAAGTTTATAGTTATAAAAGGGCGACTGTGTTTGATTGGATCAGTGAACTCACAACACACACACTAGGGCACAATATCCTGTCACATTTCCATTTGTGTTGCCATTTTCATGCAGTGTCATGCTTTAAAGCTCGCTGCACACACCGATGAGACACAGAGATACTTCTGACCTGCACAGGAAGCTCTAGACTGATGTGAACTGCATCATTAAACTGAGCTGCACTGCAGCAGCTTATCAGCAATATGGGTGTTTTTCATTATCATGTGATTTAGTGTAACTTATAGCTGAAGTGTGTCATTAGGATTCAGCAGCACAGTGACTTGATTGGGAGGATCAGGACCCCCGAGGCTTGTCCATAACACCGAGCTGGGGGTAAGAGAGCAGAGACAACAAATGATAAGATGCAGAGTGGTGTGAGCGAAGAAGAAATGCTCAGTGCATCATGGGAAGCCTGTCGGTTCGGGATCACCCGATCCAGCCCTAACTATGTCACTAAACAAAAGTTTTAAGCATAATCTTAAAAGTACTGAGTGTGTCTCTCTCCCACATCCAGACTGATCTGACAAATTTGAATTCAGTGGATTTGGTGTCTGGTTTTTAATGTATTCATAAATAGTTTCACAGTGTTGCAGTCTGAAACACTTTAAATCGTCTGTTTTTGTTAATTATGTTCGGTTTGGATAGATCTCCCGGACATGGATTGAATCTAGTCCCAGACTAAAAGAGAATCAGTTTTAGTCCATGTCATGAAAACTGAGCCTAAGTATTACCAGTTTCCATTTCTGGATGATAAAAAGCAGTGACGTGGCCTTCTTAAAAAGTGTTTTTACAGATAGAATATAGTTTATTCATTTAATAATTACCATTAAAATGTGTCTTATATAGTTACTGTTGAGTTTGTGAGGTTATAGATTATGTCTGACGCTGTTTGGATGTTTTATTGCTATCATCAAAACTGACTTTAATATTAACCCTCTCTGCTTTTTCCCACAGATTATTCCCAAACATCTAGCCAGGGGTAAGTTATGTAAATCATGTCTTTATTCATTCATGAAGCTTTCAGTCATTAATACTCATTCAGAGTAAATACATTTAGGTTTTGAATTTGGGTTAAAACAAGAAAAGTAAGTCCTTGCATTTAACCGTGGAAATGATTTTGTTTTGTAAGTCAATGAAAACAATTTGAAACGGTGTATTCTTGGTTGGTGTGTGCAGCTATCCATCCTATGGTGGAGGTGGCGGTGCTAGCCAGGGCTACGGTCCGTCGTCTGGCCCGGGTTACGGCCAGCAGGGCTACGGAGGCTACAACCAGAGCTCTGACAGCAGCTCCAGCTCCTATAGTCAGGGAGGCTATAGCGGCTACGGCCATCCTCAGTCAGGTAGAGGAAGCCCCAACGTCCGCCCAAATCCACAGTCACCGTTTTCCAGTCAACTGTGAATCAGTTTCCTTTTCCCAGGTGGATACGGGTCTCCATCCTCTAACCAGGGTGGTGGTGGTGGTGGTGGGTATGGTCACTCAAGTCAGTCCTACAGCTCCGGTGGCTATAACAGCAGCAACCAGCCGTCCAGCATGAGCTACAGCCAGCAGTCGTCATTCTCCGGGTACAGCCAGCAGCAGCAGCAGCCTCCTCCTCCATCCTCTGCGAGGTATGCTCACGTTCACCTCGCCTTTAATTCACTGATTTCTGCCCCATCTGCACAGCGGTAGTGTTTAGGAGCAACCACAAACCTCACTGACTTTACCTGCGGTGTGAGAGAGGAGGATGCTGGGATAGCAGGAGATGGAGGCAGGTGAACTTTAGCGAACCTTGATAGAAGCAGTCAAAAAAAGAATAATTTAAAGGCCGCATTCGTCTTTAGTTTTAAATAATTTTGGAGTGCAGTTAGTTTTTGTTGTTTGATGGTGGTCAGAACACTCCTGTAATAAAAATCAAATGTTCATACTGGTCCCCAGTATAAAGTACAACATAAGCCGAGCTCAGTCTCAGTAATTCAGTGCTTATCTCTATGATACTAATCCTAATAAAGCAGGTGCTCTGTTTTTCATTATATTATAGGTCAGCCTAGAGGCCGAACTAGTTTAAATCGAATAGAACTTTAAAAAGGCGCCGTTACTGCAGTTTCATGTGAGTACAGCAGGGGGCGCTCCAGTTATAGGAGCAAACTTCCTCTGTGGCGACCTCAGCTCTCTGCTGATCGCCAGGTATGTGTCCTTTGAAGCCAGCGTGGACTTGCAGACAGTGACCCTTTTAGCTAATTTCATCACACAAAGCCTCTTTTTAATTAGTTCAGGTGTGTCGACGTGCACGTGTCCGCTGCCACCTGAACTTCTCTTTACCCCTCTGTTACTGCGGAGGCCAAACATGCTTTCATTTGCATTGTGTTCATTTTGAGGACATTCAGACATGTTCAAGTTCAGTAAATGTTTGTTCATTTACAGTCAAATCATTTTTGGCCCTTAGCGGTAAAAGGCTGATGAGCCGCCAAGTGAATGATTGAGATTACAGCACTGAACAAAATAATCAGGATTAAGGTTTTCACCATAATTGAGCAGCTGCAGTTTGAGTCTCTCGTATGTGAGCTGCCATGTTGCTTTGTAGTCTTTAACACTTCCTGTTTTCTAACAGCTATGAAGGCAACTCGCCAGCTCCCGCCTACCAGCCACCGAGCAGCGGAGCGAGCGGAGGCAGTTACGGCAGCAGTGGAGGGCAGCCTGGTGGTAACTACGGGGGCAGCGGAAGCCACCCACAACCGTCTCAGCACGGAGGAGGTCACTACAACCAGCCGCCGAGCTACAACACCCCTCCTCCGCCGAGCTACAGCCAGCAGAGCCAGTACGGGCAGAGTGGAGGTGAGGGGTTGTGTAGCTGTTGATTACTGATTGAAAGCACATCAGTGTTTGGTCTGCTGAGGTTGGAACTTTCTCTCAGGATATGGAGGCGATAGCCCGCCGATAAGTGGAGGAGGAGGCGGAGGATACGGTGGTCCTGATGGAGGTTATGGAGGTCAGGAAGGCCGTGGGGGCAGGGGCCGCGGTGGAGGCGGATTTGGAGGCCGCGGTGGTGGCGGATACGATCGAGGTTTTGACCGAGGCGGCCGAGGTGGTCCAAGAGGAAGAGGAGGCATGGGGTAGGTGTCATCAATCATTGACTTATGAGTCACAGAAGCTCAGGGCTGTGCTACATCTTAATGTCTCCACCCATCTGGTTTTACATGGAGCCGCACTACTTCCTTCTTTTCCTGTAAAAAAAAAAAAAGAAGTAGTGATTCATATTTACACCTCTGACCTCACCTGCTTGTAAGAGTATGTAATCCTCAGTGCTGCAAGAGATCCCGTGGAGCGCCTCTCCACCCAGCCCAAAAACGCTGAAGACCACATTGCTAAAGGTCCAGTGAGTCGACATGTGGTTGAAAAGTGAAAGAGCCAAAGCTGTGAATCATCTTTGCAGACTCCTCACACGATAAAACAGATTCAAACCCAGACCCTGCTGCTCTGAGGCCACTGGACCACCTTACCACCAAATCAAAAAGAAACGTGAAATGGCCACAAAAAAGCAGTGTGTTCTGAAACATTACAGTACTCACAAGAACAGGTGAATGAAACTCATCTTTGAAAACAGAAGGTGGAGGCAGCGAGGAGAAAGTGTGACCTTAAACAGGCTTATTTCATCTGCCTGCAGGTGTGTTTTTTACACATTAAGAGCACAAAGGTAAAAGTTTTAAAAGCCAACATCTGTGCTGTGATATCAGCTCGTCCTATAAAAGAGAGGACGTC